GGTCAGGCTGATCTCGAACTCCTGACCATAGGTAACCACCCACCTCGGCCTCCCAAAGTGTTGGGATTACAGGCGTGAGCCACTGCGCCCAGCCTGCAGCTTACTTTATATGAAGATACTGAAACCGCCATTGAAAAACTGTAACTGAGATGGTGAAAGAGATCTGACCCAGCCAGCTCTATCTTGCTCCTTAACACACCTCCAAGCTGCCCTTGTACATTCCTGGGCATAAGCTGAACTAACTTTGGGAGGAATTTAGTTTATGGTTTATAGTTTAAAACAAAGGCTGGGCATGGTGGCTCACACCTGTAATCCCAACAATTTGGGAGGCGGAGGCAGGTGGACCACCTGAGTTCAGGAGTTCCAGACCAGCCTGACCAACATGGATAAACCCCGTTGCTACTAAAAATACAAAAAAATTAGCCAGGCGTGGGGGTGCATGCCTGTAATCCCAGCTACTCAGGAAGCTGAGGCAAGAGAATCACGTGAACCCAGGAGCCAGAGATTGCAATGAGCCGAGATTGCGCCGTTGCACTCTAGCCTTGGCAACAAGAGCAAAACTCCGTCTCAAAAATAAAATAAAATAAAATAAAACAAAGACGGTAATAGCCCTTTCCCAGAACAAACCTCCTTCTTGCCTGGGGACTAGGCTGCCTTTATAGGACTAACAAATTAGCTACACAATTAGAAATTATGGTTTAAGAGTCATGCGGCTGGAGGCTACAAGATTCTGACCCTCCTTAAACTGCTCCTAAGATCAGTGCTTGAGATATTTTGCAGACCCTGCACTTGATGAATCAGCTGGCACCACCCAGATTGATAAACTGGCTCATGTGATCTGTGGCCCCCACCCAGATCTGACTCCTTACAAGAGGACAGCGTCAACTCCCTATGATCTCATCTCTGACCCAACCAATCAGCACTCTCGACTCACCGGCCTTCCCCTACCCACCAAATTATCCTTAAAAACTCTGATCCCTGAATGCTCGGGAGACTGACCTGAGTAATAATAAAATTCCAGTCTCCCACACAGCTCGCTCTGTGTGAATTAACTCTTCCTCTATTGCAAGTACCCTGTCTTGATAAATCAGCTCTGTTGAGGCAGCAGGCAAGGTGAATCCATTGGGCAATTACAATATCACCATATTGATAATTACACTGTGAAAAGCAAATTATTATAATAACTCCACTAACCTGAATCCATAGAAATTACAGTATTTTATTTTTTATGAATATTTTTTAAAACAACAGATAATAGGTCGGGCATGGTGGCTCACACCTACAATGCCAGCACTTTGGGAGGCTGAGGCAGGAGGATCACTTGAGCCCAGGAGTTCTAGACCAGACTGAGCAACATGGCAAAACCCCATCTCTACAAAAAAAAACTTTTCTAATTAAAAATTTAGCCAGGCGTGGGGGTGCACACCTGTAGTCCCAGCTACTTGGAAGGCAGAAGCAGAATAACTGCTTGAGTCCACAAGTTAGAAGCTGCAGTGAGCTATGATCATGACACTGCACTCCAGCCTGGGTGACAGAATAAGACCTCATCTCAAAGAAAAAAAACAAAATATTTTGAAGCTTTCTACAGTAAAAAAATATTTTCAGATATCTATTTTAAGATAAATTTACTGAATAATAAGGAGTAAAGCTTTTGCTTAGCTCCTTTTTAAAATCTCTAAGTGCACCAGTTCCTTTTCCTAGCTTAGGAAAAGACCTAAGGCATAGTGATCTATGACAATAATAGAATATTTGCTTCATGGTATAGGCTCTTTTGGTATCTTAAAGCAATGATCATTATGTAGTGCCATGGATAAGCTATAGAAGAAATCACAGATAAAGCTAAGTATGTACTAACCCCCGGCTATTCTTTGAAAGTTTCTTTGGAAAATATAAGCATACTATTTAGTACTACTTATCTCTATCTCTGAAAAGTAGAATGCAGGAAAAATTGCAACTATTAAACTCTTTAGTCAAGTTCTGATTACTCATTCACTAATTCAAAAACTGCTGTTGACCAGCCTGGCCAACATGGAGAAACCCTGTCTCTACTAAAAGTGCAAAAATTAGCTGGGCATAGTGGCAGGTGCCTAGAATCCCAGCTACTCGGGAGGCTGAGGCAGAAGAATCGCTTGAACCTAGGGGGTGGAGGTTGCAGTGAGCCAAGACTGCACCACTGCACTCCAGCTGGGCAACAGAGTGACACTCCACCTCAAAAAAAAACAAAAATATTAGCCAGGTGTGGTGGCTCACGTCTGTAATCCCAGCACTTTGGGAGGCCAAGGCGGATGGATCATGAGGTCAGGAGTTCAAGACCAGCCTGGCCAACATAGTGAAACCCCGTCTCTACTAAAAATACAAAAAATTAGCCAGGCGTGGTGGCGGGCGCCTGTAATCCAGCTACTCAAGAGGTTGAGGCTGGAGAATCGCTTGAACGCGGGAGGCAGAGGTTGCAGTGAGTGGAGATCACCCCACTGCACTCCAGCCTGAGTAAAAGGGTGAGACTCTGTCTCAAAAAAAAAAAATTGCTGTTGGCTGTAGAACCCCTATCATGTGCTCTGCATTACATGTGGAACTGGGAATAGAATAACAACCTTCAATGGCGTGAGGGAAACTGGCAAGTAATGAGGAAGTAAAAAACAAGATAGAGGTCAAGTGCGGTGGCTCATGCCAGTAATTCCAGCACTTTGGGAGGCCGAGCCAGGTGAATCACTTGAGGTCAAGAGTTAGAGACCAGCTGGCCAATATGGTGAAATCCCCTCTCTACCCAAAATACAAAAATTAGCCGGGCAAGGTGGTGCACACCTGTAACCCCAGCTACTCTGGAGGCTGAGGCATAAGAATTGCTTGAACCTGGGAGGCAGAGGTTGCACTGAGCTGAGATTGCCCCAGTGCACTCCAGCCTGGGTGACAGAGCAAGACTCTGCCTCAAAAAATAAAATAAAGGCCGGGCACGGTGGCTCATGCCTGTAATCCCAGCACTTTGGGAGGCCAAGGCAGGTGGATCATGAGGTCAGGAGTTCGAGACCAGCCTGACCAACATGGTGAAACCGCATTTCTACTAAAAATACAAAAATTAGCCAGGCGTGGTGGTGCGCACCTGTAATCACAGCTACTCAGGAGGCTGTGGCAGGAGAATCGCTTGAACTGGGGAGGCAGAGATTGCAGTGAGCCAAGATGGTGCCACTGCACTCCAGTCTGGGGGACAAAGTGAGACTCAGTATCAAAAAAAAAAAAAAAGAAAAGAAATGCAAGTAATTCCAACCTACATATGCTATATGCCTTTCTGCTTAAACGATCTATGTTTTTAAGTATAAATTGTCTATGAAAATAAACACTTCTGGCCAGGCATGGTAGCTCACGCCTATAATCTCAATACTTTCGGAAGCCGAGGTAGGCCAATCACATAAGGCTAGGAGTTCAAGAACAGCCAGGCCAACATGGCAAAACCCCATCTCTATGAAAAACACAAAAAAATTACTCCTTTACCTGATGCAGGTCTCTACTCAAATGTCACCATATGGGTAGAGCATTCTCTCACCTACCAGTATGAAATAACTTATCCTCACCCCACCCCCTTGCCAACTACCAGACTCAATTATCAAAAACAAAAATAAAAGTGCTTATTTATTTACTATCTATCACCCTAACCTAGAATACAAATGCTCTAGAGAGCGCAGATGGATTTTTATCACTTCTATATTCCAGAATCGGAGTCTACTGCCTGGAAGATCATAGGTTTGCAGTAAATATTTGGTGGATGACTGAGTAAAAACTTATAATACTAGGAATTTTTCTGATGCAAACTAATAATATAACATTTTATGTTATGAGTCACTTTTCTCTATTGCATCCCTAATTAAGAGTTAAGTACTTATATAGAAAACTAAGTAACACTGTGACTTTTTCCCTTTAGCCTAAACATGCAAATACATGCATATATAAGCAGTTCACTGGCAAGGGCTGAATAATCGGAAGACTTTATGCCACTCTTTTCCTTCTCTTGGCTTAGTGCTTCTGAATATATTGAAGGGATACCTTGGGCTCCTATGTTATTACCTTAAAGTCAATTAACATTTCAACTCTGGGCCGGGAGTGATGGCCCATGCCTATAATGCTAGCACTTTGGAAGGCCAAGGTTAGTGGATCACTTGAGGTTAGGATTTAGAGACCAGCCTCACCAATATGGTGAAACCATCTCTACTAAAAATACAAAAATCAGCCAGGCGTGGTGGTAGGCACCTGTAATCCCAGCTACTCAGGAGGCTGAGGCAGGAGAAACCTTTGAACTTAGGAGGCAGAGGTTGCAGTGAGCCAAGATCACGCCACTGAACTCCAGCCTGGGCGACGGAGTGAGACTCTGTCTCAAAAAAGAAAAAAAAAAATTGTAAGAGTTAATAACAGTACTTTAAAAACATTTGTAAAACATCAACATAAAAATTAGCAAAACTATAGGCAGATAATTCAAAGAAAAAATATGAATAGCCAATAAATTTATGAAAATTTTCATTTAGATTAATGTTCCTTAATAATGTTCAGCATCGAAGGCCAGATGCGGTGGCTCACACCTGTAATCCCAGCACTTTGGGAGGCTGAGGAGAGTGGATCACGAGGTCAGAAGATCGAGATAATCCTGGCCAACATGGTGAAACCCCATCTCTACTAAAAATACAAAAATTAGCTAGGCATGGTGGCACATGCCTGGTAATTCCAGCTACTCAGGAGGCTAAGGCAGGAGAATCGCTTGAACCAGGGAGTCGGAGGTTGCAGTGAGCCGAGATCGCGCCACTACACTCCAGCCTGGCAACAGAGCGAGACTTTGTCTCAAAAAAAAGAAAAAAGAAAAAAGAAAAAATTAATGTTCAGCAACCTAAATGGCCTGGGAAAAAAGAAAGCAGAAAAACTTCCAAAAAAAAAAAAGCCAGCAAGAGGTTTCTTACAGCAATAAGAAAACACAGAAACTGGAAAACCTTTTAACTGACAAGGATGTGGGGTTGAAATACCTGTGATGGAACAATAGATGATGTGAGGAGCAATCTTGTCTATATCTTCATATCCCAGGCCCATTGCAGACAGTTTGCCAGGGACATAGTTTTCCACAAACACATCACAAACAGCTGCGAGCTGATGGAAGAGGTGAACATGAGTCAGACTTCCCCTCAACAAATCCTCACATGATAGAATTTTAAATTCTACACAATTGATTCTCCCTTTCTAATAGCTCAGAAAAATCACAGGACCGATGAAGCAAATTAGATAAACATAGAAGTTCTGGTCAACTACTTAAAGCATTACTGTCAGTAAAATAATGGCTTTTAAAGTTTTTGTAAGTACATGGTATTGAATGGATTCTGCATCCTTTAAATATAATAAATATCTAGACTACATGGTCTGTCCAAATAGATTCTAAAAAGATTAGGTAGAAAAATTAGAATGTAAGTACATTAAATCTATGAAAAACACCTTTTAAAACATTTACAAGAAAACTAAATAGGTCATGTCTGGTTGCTCACTTCTCTAATCTCAGCACTTTGGGAGGCCAAGGCAGGTGGATTGCTTGAGCCCAGGAGTTCAAGATCAGGAGTTCAAGACCAGCCTGGGCAACATGGCAAAATCCCATCTCTATAAAAATTAGCCAGACAAGGTGGTGCACACTTATGGTCCCAGCTACTCAGGAGGCTCAGGTGGGAGGATCTCTTGAGCCAGCAAGTTGAGGTTGCAGTGAGCTGCGATGGTGCCACTGCACTCCAGCCTGGGAGACTATTAGACCTTGTCTCCAAAAACAGACCTAAATACAAAGTCTTTACTACTCAACATCCCTATTGTTACGTAATATTCCTCATTATAACATGCACTTAACGCATGTAAACAGGATTCTGAAATGTTTTCACACCTTTCAGATGCATTCTTCCCAAAGAGTTTTAAATGTATTTAATGAACCACCGAAGTTTTTTTTCTTCAGGCCACTAAACTATAGCCCAGTAAACCAGGAACTGTCAAGAACAAATTCCAGATTGTGATGCCCAGACCACTGTTACAGGAATTAGAGGACAATGCAGCACTGTAAACCTTAATTTTAATTTTTTTCCCAAAATTTCAATTGCAACTACTTTTAAAAATGTTTGTAAAGGGCCAGGTGCAGTGGCTCACACCTGTAGTCCCAGCACTTTGGGAGGCCAAGTAAGGCAGACCATTTGAGGTCAGAAGTTCAAGACCAGCCTCGTCAACATGGTGAAACCCTGTCTCTACTAAAATTACAAAAAAATGAGCCAGGTGTGGTAGCATATGCCTGTAATCCCAGCTACTCGGGAGGCTGAGGCACAAGAATCACTTGAACCCAGGAGACAGAGGTCACAGTGAGCTGAGATCGCACCACTGCACTCCAGCCTGGGTGACAGAATGAGAC